TCTGTCAAATTCAACTTTTAGTTCAAAAGTTTTGTGAATTAGAGTAGGCTTAGAATATTTAAATGTCAAACTATATTCGGAGGAATGAATTTTCGAAATGAAATAGAAACAGAGTAAGGAACGTGCGAAATTTCGATCGCAATTTCGTTTTTCGTTGAAATAGAGTAGGCCTCAAGGTCTTCCGCCATTTTGCGCACCGAATATGTAGCCTTTCAAGTTTCCCTGACAATTGAAACCGAAACAAGAGAACTCTAAAGTGAATCCATAGAATGATAAGTCAATATTGTTAAATAACAATTCCCTTGTAACAAATTACTAGGGTATTTATTATGTATCGTACCTCTCTATATATTTAGGTATGCGATACTTCCTCTTGGATCCTCTATCAATCTTCCAAATGAAATAATTGATTGTATGTACAACAAATTTACTTAACTATGATGAATAAAAAAATGTGTGCTTCTTTATGGCCTTATTTTACGAAAAATGATCTACATGCAACTTTCCAGAAATTGGTTAAATAAAGTTAAATTAGATAAAGTTTAAACAAAAGGATTTTATTATCATAGACATGAATACAAACAAGATTTCATTTCATTTCGTTTCGTTTCGTTTCGTTTCGTTTCGTTTCGTTTCGTTTCGTTTCGTTTCGTTTCGTTTCGTTTCATTTCATTTCATTTATATGTTCATCGTCGTTGTTATTACCAAAAAAAAGATGGCGCGTAACCAAAAAATGTGACGCGTAACCGAAAAATGTGACGGTAAATTTTTTTCCAACGCCGATAAAGAAGTTTCACTTCAAAAACTTCAAATGCTGGCTAATCGACATTTACGTGATGCACCTATTAAACACTTTTCATCATAGTGTTTTCACGTACCGATGCGTTGGAGACGAATGTGAGACTAAGGCGTGACGTGAAGGCGGAGAGAACGCGACGAGTGACGTCACTGATTCATGCCGGACTTTGCTGCGTCACATTACCGAGTGACGTCACTGATTGATTTCTGGCCTTTGCTGCGTCACATTAAGGAGATACACCTTTGATTATCTACTAATCTGGTAAATTCATCATCATCAGCCTATTAATGTCCCCACTGCTGGGGCACAGGCCTTCCCTATGGATGGAATAGGGAGATTGGGCCATGACCCACCATGCGGGCCCAGTGCGGATTGGCGGGTGCTAACGACTGCAGATGCAGCCGGGACCAACGGCTTAACGTGCCTTCCGAAGCACGGAGGAGCTCGAGATAGTAATTTTTGGTCACCCATCCAATGACCGGCCACTGCGAAAGTTGCTTAAGTTCAACGATCGCAGCCGAACGCGCTAACCACTTGCGCCATCGAGCTCCTCATTACCGAGTGACGTCACTGATTGATTTCTGGCCTTTGCTGCGTCACATTAAGAAGATACATCTTTGATTCTCTACTAATCTGGTAAATCAACTGATTGTTTCTAAAATAATTCACTTACCTATGCTAATCAAAAATAACTTAAATTCTCCTAGCGCTGCGGGTGAGAGGACAAGCCTGCCTACCGTATGAATGAGAGGAAGGGAAGTAAGACAGACTGGCACCGTAACGCGTTACGTAACGAAGTGGTTTACCCTCCCAAACGAAGTTATCACTTCAAAACCAGCCAAGTGCGAGTCGGGTTCGCTCACTGAGGGTTCCGTACGCTAGTTCGGAACATAAATGGCCGTTCCTTTTTTCACATTTACTTAGAAGTTTGATTTTCCAAAGCTTCAAGGACGGGGCTTGAGTATTGAGAAAACAAAGTGATCTTATAACGGTTCCGATTTTTGAAGTTATACTTCTTTAGGCGCGTTATGAAAAAATGATGAGAGTGAAATTTTAAGATGCGCGCGCATCACTGTAACACAAAATTTTTTACTTTTGTGTTTACCGCACATTAAGAAAATCTACCAACAAAATAGAAATAGAATCTCTATTTAGTGGGTGCTAACGACTGCATTGTGAAGGCCTATCAAAAGTATTTATTAATCTGGAACAACGGAACCAAAGCGCGATTCAGGAGACTATAGCGCCATCTCTTGACCATTGGTGTAGTAGAACCAAAAACCACATCTTTATTTTTTGTAATAAAGTAACAGTTATAGGTATTCATATTTATAATATTTATCCACATGTTTCTGGTTTGTATATTCGGAATACGTGTTTGAGTTTCATACAAGTGCAAATCACATATGTTCTAATAAATTATATTCAGTAGCGATTTTAATTGAATATTTTGATTATTTATTTATTTTTTCAAATTAAAACTGAACTTTATTGACTGTGTCCTTTTCCAGACTTTTTATTAATTTATTGTAATTAATTATTTGCATGCAATTAAAAACTAATTTTAAACGATGCCAAAGAAGGATAACTTCTCACGCACTCTCACTACATAAGTACACGCACCCATTTTTTTCTTTTGAGGTACGGAACCCTAGTAAAAGAGCAATTCTTGGCTAATTGATGTTTCAGTGCCTCACGCACCCATTAAACACATTCATCATAGAGTTTATTTATTTATTTATTGCACTCATGTGGTTATTACAGATGTTACATAAAAGTATTAGATACAGACACGTGAACCCTGATATGGTATAGCAATTAAATTTAAAATGTCCTTAATTAAATAATAATAATAATCTACTTCAATTAAATTAAAATTAACATGAACATAATTATTAACTAATAATTAATAACACTGACAAATAGCATTCAATAATAACGATAATAATAATTTCAAATAAAATTACGTAGGAACATTAAAAAACATAAAAAATAAATAAGGTCTTGCTTAAATTAACTAACTCTTGCATCGAATAAAAGCTGGTCTTTGATAAAAATGATTTCAGTAGTTTTTTTAAATTTGACTGCGTTTTTTTCATTTTTCCATTCACGCACCGATGCGTCGGAGACGAGGACGTGACGAGAACGCAAGGAGTGACGTCACTGATTGATCTCGACCCTCGCCGCGGTCCGGACGAGGCTGCACCGAGATTGATTGTCTCCTACCGCACAACCCCACCCCTCACCCCCACTCTTCGGTCGTACCCAATATCAGTTGCCGCTTAAAGGACGCGGTATTACAAATGCCTGTGGCTACGACAATGTCCGGAATACTAGTGTATCTCGTGAAATAAAATATGAGGAGAATGCTGTCGTTTCTGTTGCGAAGAACTGCACGATTTTGTGCGGGCTTGGTGAACTGAATTTTGTACAGGCTTGGATTGATAAAAGAATCGAATATTACCTATGTAGTACAAAAATCTTTTTGTTGAAACTATATACTCATGACAACACAAATTCCAAATACAATATTCAAGTAATAAGAGAGTTTTAATTGTAGCAAAATCACATGATCTTAGTTCTGTTTTTGAATAGAAAAAGTCAGTTTTCTGAATATCACCTTGCAATAATTCATTTTAAAAAAAAAAATGTCGAATAATTAATTATTAAGCTAACTAAATAATTTCCCTTATTAATACATGATCAGTTAGTAAAAATAAAACTATGTATATCGATATTAAGATTCAGTTCAGGTTGACGTTACACACGATAAATATGTGTGCACTTTATGAAGATTTTAGTTCAAAATATATTTCCTGCAATATTGTTAGAATACGCATACAGAAGTAGCAGCAGTGCATCGTTGCCGGGCTGCATCGTAAATCAGCGGGCGCACAGCTTGTTCGCTGACTCAATTCATGATTTACCGCCACAAGTTTTGGGCAACTGACTTTTTGTTATGCTGTGCGCTGTAACGCCGTATATTCCTTTCTTGCACGCCACGCAACGGAAATCGTCAAAAAGCTTTCTTAAATTATTCAGAGAAAGCTTTTATTTTCTGTTGTAATTCCGAGATTTCAATTTTAGAATACTTTTTTGAGCATATAATAATAATAATAATAACATTTATTTCAGATTATTCATCCATAATGGTTAGTAGCAAATCTGCGAGCTAACATATTGCAGCGCACACTCAACGCCCTGCGCTCCCTCTCAATGTCGGTGTCATCTACCATACCAATGGCCCAAGTATTTGAATTTGTTGACTCTTTTTAACTCAACACCACAAAGAGTGACACTGGGTATATTGTGATAGGTTTTCGAACCAGCTTTAAACTCCATCAGCTCACCGTTTGTGGCATTATACCTAAGTCCGTGCGTCAACGCATAGGTTTCACACATTTGTAACAACCTTCGCATTGCACCAATCGACGGGCTCAGCAGCACCATGTTATCGGCGCAACTCAGATTGTTAACACACACCCCGTCAATAACAGATGATTTGAATATTACAGTCCTGGACTTACAATTCTTAAGCAAGTGATCAGGATCAGGTCGACCCAAGACCTCAGATGAGAGAGAGGGAGAGAGAGAGAGAATCATTTTTATTTACCACATTAGTAAATTTACAAAACAACGTACAAAAAAAAAATAATTTAAAAGAAGCAGAATAGAAAAAAAAGTACCATTTGTGGTCAATCAGGACCCTGCCTCAGCGTAATGCTGCCGCAACACGCTACAAAACGTGTCACAGCAGCGCTGGTATTCCGGCAGGGCCAAATATCAGTGTCACTTAATTTCATGCAGCGGTGGGGTTTGAGTATCGCTTTTATTCCGGTAAAATAAATAAATATAAATAAAAATAAATATTCTCAACACTCACACCAATTAGCCTAGCCCCATACTAAGCACTATAAGGCTTGTGTTATGGGATACTAGGGTAACGGATAGAATACATATACTGTACATATATAAGTATATTTATATAGAAGTACATATTAAACATCCATGACTGGAGTACAAATGCTCGTATTCATCACACAAACATCTGCCCCCACTGGGATTCGAACCCGGGACCTCTCGAGTCGGCGACACCATGAAACCCGGCGTTCAAACCACTCGGCCACGGAGGTCGTCGAGTAACAGTTATAGGTATTAGTATAAAATAGTTGTACAGTAACGATAAAGCTACCATTCTTACCGCCTAGCCTGAGTTCGACGTCAGCGTGCGCGTTGTCGACGCCTCGCCGCGCCACGCACTGGTAGAGGCCGCGGTGCGCGCGCGTCACCGCCAGCGCCAGCTCGGAGCCCGCGCCCGCCGCCGCGCCGTCGTGCAGCCACGACACCCGCGCCACAGGGTCGCTCGCGCTGCAGTTCAGCCGCACGCTGCTGCCCATGTCCGCCACCTGGTCACGCGACTACTTGAACAACTTAACGCGTGAAAAGTGTCTTGCGACTGAGTGAGATTTTTTTTGAAGTTATACTTCTTTAGGCGCGTTATGAAAAAATGATGAGAGTGAAATTTTAAGATGGTCGCTCGACCGACTTCATGCTGATACTTTTGTGTTTACCGCACATTAAGAAAATCTACCAACAGAATAGAAATAGAATCTCTATTTAGTGGGTGCTAACGACTGCATTGTGAAGGACTATCAAAAGTATTTATTAATCTGGAACAACGGAACCGAAGCGCGATTCAGGAGACTACAGCGCCATCTCTTGACCATTGGTGTAGTAGAACCAAAAACCACATCTTTATTTTTTGTAATAAAGTAACAGTTATAGGTATTCATATTTATAATATTTATCCACATGTTTCTAGTTTGTATATTCGGATTACGTGTTTGAGTTTCATACAAGTGCAAATCACATATGTTCTAATAAATTATATTCAGTAGCGATTTTAATTGAATATTTTGATTATTTATTTATTTTTTCAAATTAAAACTGAACTTTATTGACTATGTCCTTTTCCAGACTTTTCCTTAATTTATTGTAATTAATTATTTGCATGCAATTAAAAACTAATTTTAAACGATGCCAAAGAAGGATAACTTCTCACGCGCCTACATAAGTACACGCACCCATTTTTTATGTTATAAGGGGCATACGAGCAAACGGCTCACCTGATGGTAAGTGTTCACCGTCGCCCATGGACACTTGCAACACCAGGAGTATCACAAATGCGATGCCGGCCTTTAAGGAAGGAGTGCACTCTTTTTTTGAAGGTTTTTGGGTCGTATCGGTCCGGAAACACTGCTGGCGACAACATATTCCACAGTTTTGTCGTACGTGGAAAAAACTTCGACAAAAACGCACGGTTTTGAGTCTTTTGTATTAAAAAAATATCCAGTCGACTGTATCAAATCTACTCTTCCAAGTCGGTTTTTCATCTTATTCCCACTTAAGTATTTTTTTTTATAGACGCCCGACAAATGACTCCACCCCACCTGATGTTAAGTGAAGGTGAAGTCCAGACGCGAAGATAGCTGATACAGCAGTTATACCTGCAACACCAGCCATCCTCACCCTGCCGGCCTGCATTCTTCTTGCTTCTTCACGCCTCTTTTAAAGGATCCCAAGAGGGAGGGAACACGTGAGCTGGCAGAGCATTCCATTTACGGATAGTGCGACAAAGAAATGAGTCGCCAAATTTCTTTGTACGCGTTGGAATTGTGACCACAGTAAGACGGTGACAACGTAGGCCAGCGCGCGTGATCCTCCGAAGGAAAGGGGAAGGTGGGATGAGAGAGAATAACTCCTCAGAACACTCGGATTTATGTACATACATCGCATACATTTATGTATATTCATTTACAATTTGTTAATTTAATCGCGAGAAATGAATTACGATTTCTCTTGTCCCCTTGACACTTTTGATTCGTGTAGGCAATGCGTTTGACCACAATCTCACCTGATAGAAAGCGATGATGAGGCTTAGGATGGTACACGCCTGCCTAGAAGATGCCTGTTCACTCTGGCCTTGAAGATGTCCAGATTATATTGGTCCGGGAAAGCAGACCTCGGCAAGGAGTTCCACTCCCTAGCCGTTCGTATAATGAACGCCGAAGCAAATCGCTTCGTGCGAACGGGAGGAACTTCGACAACATAAGGGTGGAAGCCCTCGCCGCGCCCGGTCGTCCGGTGGTGGTAAGGGGAAGGGGGGATCAAATTATGTAATACCTCCGCACACTGTCACTTATAAGGTTATAAGATGTAGAGATTTAGGGTTTCACCCCAGATTGCCGGTTACTCAGTATGCACTGACCACAACGGCCGGAGTGGCAGCGACAGTGAGCGTGTCGGTGACGGTGAGCCTGGTCTGCGCGGTGGCGTCGCCGTACACGTTGTAGGCCTTGCAGAGGTACGCGCCCGCGTGGGGCGGCGCCGCGCGCGTCACGCACAGCGCCGCGCCGCCGGCCCACCACCACACCGCGTCGGACGCTTCTACGGGCTGCAGCCGCCCGCCGCTCTCGCGGTACCATCTGACGACAACATGGACAACGTTATATTGACTCGTGGGATCCCAAAGAAAGAAGATCAAACATCTGTGTTATAAATACCTATTTAAATTGCTTCTATTGTTTTAAAAATCCAATGAAATAAAATTATGACCTTACCATAAAATATATTAATGATGTTATGGAAGAGTGGTTCCTTCCGGTACAGATGTTAAACACTTAATAGAAGGAACCCACCCTGGTTTGGTGTATAACAAATGTGGTACCGTAATAAACCTTTTTGAATCTAAAGAAAATATAACTTGAAAAAATTCCACGCGAACCAGGCAGCAGACGGGACCCGAACCCACACCCTTCGCAATCCGGGCGAATGCACTGATCGATTATGCTACCGCGACCCTCACGGCCCGCGTCGAAATTCTTCTAGCCATTCTTAAGCTGCAAGGCAGCGCCATCTCTTCGCAATGTCAAATATATTAGAAATAATTCCACGCGGACCAGGCAGCAGACGGGACGAGGTCCGCGTGGAATTTGTTCTAGTTATATTTTCTTTAGATTTAAACATCAAGCAGTTACATCCTTTAAAATAATAAAAATTATAATTTAAACTTTTTTGATTTTGAAATACCATAAACACCAACAACCAAGACAATGTAATATGACGACCTCCGTGGCCGAGTGGTTTGTACGCCGGGTTTCATGGTGTCGCCGACTCGAGAGGTCCCGGGTTCGAATCCCGGTGGGGGCAGATGTTTGTGTGATGAATACGAGCATTTGTACTCCAGTCATGGATGTTTAATATGTATTTCTATATAAATATACTTATATATGTACGGTATATGTATTCTATCCGTTAACCCTAGCATCCCATAACACAAGCCTTACAGTGCTTACTTTGGGGCTAGGCTAATTGGTGTGAGTGTTGGAAAAAAAAAAAAAAAAAAAAAAAAAAAAAATGTAATAAAGTAGGTTTTCCAGAACTTTCTTTTATATGTTCTAATGTGCTAGGTCACCTTTTTCTCCTCACTCAGTCATTCTGATCCTTCCCGCCTCTTTTGGAAATTGGAGATCAGAGATGGAGACAATAAGAAAGTAGTTGTGCAAACTGCTCGATCCGTGACAGAAGTTGCCGCGGGATATTGTGAATATTTTTTTGAAAAAGACCTAGGAATTTACTCCAAACGATAGTAGGTCCGAGCGCAATAGAATTTGCTAAGATAGAAGCGAAACGTGGAGCTATAATTACGTTTTAACATGCGCGATAATTATTCAGTGCATTTTTGTAACCGAATGAGCCAGATGCTATAGCCAAATATTTATTTTGATTAAAATGTCGTAACTTACTTAAGAGTTTAGTTTAAGTGGATCTCTAGCATAGAATAATACTGTGGTTTTTGTGAATTTTTATTATATTGTGGATTATAATAATCTATTTCAATATATTATCTGAACACTTGACCTTCAAACATTGTTTTTAGCCCAAAGTTGTTGTTCCCTGTAGTCTACAAGGAACTCTTTCATTGTTTTGCTATGTCTTTCAGTCCATAGGCGTTTCAGACATTTAAAACGACAATTCAAGCCCACTTGAGCCGTTCTTAAAATGCCCATTTGACCAGAATCATTCGTATACTCGGATCAGTAACTGAAAGGACAATGCCCATACCCCGTACCAATTTGCGTCATAGATATATTAACACCATAAATGTTTTTTTATTTATATGTATTTTGTAGTGTCTATTAACCGTATTTTTAACCACATTTAAAGACTTCATATAAATGATGCTTAATAATTATCAGTTACCTACTTCCGCAAAAAATTACTTATCCCTATATCAAAAGTTCATTTCCGAAATCTTGCACGTTCCGATAGCGGTTGTCTGTTATTTCCGAGGTTTAACAATGAACATAAAATTTTTTGTTCGCCTTATTAGCTTTAGCCGTTGTCTAAGTAAATAAGATTTTAAAGTAGAAAATAAAATTTGTAATTCTTTCATATATCTCTAGACGACCTTGCATTACTAAGACGCTTGAGCTTCCTAAAAGTAATACCATGTCCTATTTGAATTCCTTTTCTTTTAGGGCTGCACAGCTGTGGAATAAACTTACCTCCAATAGTCAGGAATGTCCGACCATCTTCTCGTTTAAGTCTAAAGTTAAAGATCATTTTCTCAAACAGAAATTTCAAACTTAATGAATCATTCTCACGAAGTATCTTGTTTCTTATAAGTATTTATTTATCAGGTTTATATGTATGTTATGTATATTTGGATAGGTATTGTATTTATCTCTGTATATATTTATGCAAGTTTATTTATGTAGGTATATGTATCATGTAATGTATATATATATGTAATGTGTATCGTATAAATATATAACTATTATTTGTTAAGTCTATTTCCTATAACAGTAGTAATAAATTATTTTTAGTTTAATTTTTATTGCACTTTCTGTTTCCCGCTAAGTTGTGAATCTCCGACACCACCTAGGTTGGCTGGAAGAGATTTCTTTTAGAGATAAGCTCACCTTTGCTTACTATGTATTTGACTATATGTTTTTACTATATGATGCAATAAAGAGTATAATAATATAATTTTATTTTATCTCACCATTTCATAAAGTGAACATTGCGTATTTTCGAAACTCAAAACATACATTCGATTCGGAACGCTTAATTACGGAACTGTCAGTGTCAATATCAATTTGGTTTTGATGATGTTTGTTTTGTTTGTTTGATCGATGTTATTCTTGCTGCGTTTGAATCGATCTGGTAGTTTTATCGTTTAATTAATTCACCACGTCTTTAATAAGTATTGACAGTGATGAGATAGTGACTCTATTCTGTGGATTATCGAGATCGTGACTTTGAAGTGCCGTGTCTGTTGCTGTGTCTGTTTTCCAACTAATGTATTTTTTTCTAAAATGTGGTTAAACATTGACAAAATATTTTTGATAGTAAAAAGTTAGATAAAAGCTAAACTCTTGAGTGTAAATTTGGATTGATGCAAGTTGGTTCGGATGTCCTGAGAAAAATGGGCATTGTCCTTTATTACGATTAGCTTGGACCTGACTAGTAAATAGAATCCACAAAATCCCTTTTTTTTTGTTGCGATTCGTATCCAAAAAACGGGAATTTATGTTTATTTTATTCGGAGGATCACTTGCAAGTAATAAATCAACTTAAAAATAATCGTATGGTTTAATTTGATCTACCTTGTGTCACAATTCAATTTTACCATAAATGAACATTCTTCATAAAAGCGAGCGAGTTCTTATGTAAAAAGCTTTGGAATCTTTATATCAGTATATGAAATGAGTAAACCAATTTATGCATCAAAGTCTTCAAAGGAGCTGTCACATTTTTATTCTTTCAAGAGATACCTAGAATTGGCTGGAGGATAATTGGTTGTTGCTATGATATAGCTTGTTCCCGGCGCGTGGGAGCAAGACCTCCTTTCAGTGTATTCACACGCTTTTTATTATAATGAAATTAAAAGGAGCCTTTTTCTGCCTCCATTTGTAAAGGAAAGGCTTTGACTTGCTCCCAGCGTAGACTAATGAAAATATTCAACTCGCGTTTGTAACGCTAGATTCTCTGAAATGATATTTCAAATTAAATATCATCTTTAATGTATTAAACGTCGACACGAATAAAATTGGCGTGGAAATCATTTTGAGAGATTCTTTTTTTATAAATCTGAGCTTTTGTCTCGTGACAAGGCGGCTTCATCAAAACAAATTAACAAGTTTTCTAACAGAATTTTCGTGAGTTAATCAGACGATGAATTTTCCATTCGAATTGGAGCGATCGCTTGTTCTCATTACAAAAGATGGCCGCATCTTTTGATATAATGAAATGTACCGTTGCCTCTTAACACAGTACCAGCTGAGTTAAAAAGCATTATGATTCTGTACATTGATGATTAGTTGCCCATGCGCCTAATGCCATGCCATCTTAAAATAAGATGTTTATTAGCTAAAAATGTCCTGCATGGAGGGAGTAAAAGATACTGGACGATTCAAAAGATCTTTCAATAAGTCGATATGAATAATATATATTTTTATTTATTCAGTTACAGGCTGAGGGCGAGTACAAACCACTTTTGTCAGACGAATATATCTACTTAAACTTAAATACTTGATTTTTAATATTTCATTCGTCTGATACAAATTTATTTTAACATTCGTCAAATGTCAAATCTATTCATAAAATTTTGATAGAATGCCGTCAGGATTTACACACTTACGACGCCAACGGCTTAAAGTAATAAATCGGTGCATTAGATGATTGACAATGAGAAAATTGTTTTATGTCGCTTCATGTCTTTGTATTGGGGTTTGGAACTGGAAGCTTCGTCATGCAGGTGTAGGAGAAGCGGAATCTTGTATTGTTTGGGGGCAGGTCACACGCTCGTGTAGCATTGTTACATATGTTTGTCACAAGCGGATGACCTTGTATGCGGTCTGGGGGGGGGGGGGGGGGGGGGGCAGCTGGATCAACCATGGCGTGGAACTCGTGCCCTTGTATGCGGTCTGCAGTGGGGAAGTAATGAGTGGTACGCTTGCTGTGACCCACTACTCGGGCCCAGTGAAGGCTGCAGATGCAGCCGGGACCGACGGCTTAACGTGCCTACCGAAGCACGAAGGAGTGATATTCAGGTATTGTAATTTGATTGTAATATACGGCGAAAATATAAATATTCCATAAATTATAGACGTAATCTTTAAAGATTGGTGAAACATGATGACAATGATGAAAGGTTTTTAAACATTATGCTCATCTATCAAGAATTGGCGGTTGGCGCTTCGATACGGATACCAAAGTTTATCTGGACTTTGGAAACCCTGCACGGGTTCCGTAAGTAGAGCTCAACTAGAAGTAACAACCACGCTACGCGTAAGTGTAGTGCGGCAGGGGGGGGGGGGCAGCGAAGCAGGGTAGGGGGTCGGCATCGAAGCAGGGGGGGGGGGGGGGGGGTTGGCAGCGAAGCAGGGCAGGCGCCGGCCGCCGTTGACATTTCGCCTGC